GTTTTGTTTTCAGATTGATATATTTCTCAAAATCATCAAGTGAAACAAATAAAATAGGAAACAAATGCGACGTGCCCTGGAATTTTTGCCCATGGAAACATTAAAAGTATTCTATAATTCATTAAAATTAAGCTATAAGTATAATTACGAGTAAAGAGAAATTAACTGTATCTAACTGTGAAATACTAGCCTATTGACATGCTAATCACAAATTTTGTGATAATTAAACAATATACATCCAACATAAAATAAACATTAAAAACTTACTCCACATACAAAACAGGTCAAATGGAAATAAATGAACTAGATTCTCAATTTCTGTTAATTTTGTTTCAAAGACTTAACGTTCAAAGCGTTTGAAACAATACACACAGTCAAAATAAACTCTTGAACGTATTTTCATTTAACTTGTAAAGTTAAATAAAGCGACTTTAACGGCACAATATATTATTCAAACTTTATGATATGGTATTTGGTTTTATACTGATGTATTCAATTTCTATTGAGCTTCTATTTATCGAGACGGTAAATTAGGTTTGAATGGTTGAGTTAATCTATATACATAATTATGTATAAAGATAATAAATGCAAATTACTGCTGCAATTTACTGTCAAGGGATCACTTTTAGAAAGATGACATAAAGTTATCCGCACAATATCTAAGCGTCTTTCAAAACATTGTCCAGCGTCGACTGAGTGGCTTTTTGGGGTTCCGTACCCAAAGGGTAAAACGGGAACCTATTAAGACTTCGCTGTCTGTCTGTCAGTCTGTCACCAGGCTGTATCTCAGTAACCGTGTAAGTCGGACAGTTGAAATTTTCACAGATGATGTATTTCTGTGGCCGGTTTAATAATAAATACTTAAAAACAAAATGAAAAATATTTAAGTGGGGCTCCTATACAACAGACTTGATTTTTTTGCCGTATTTATAGATAACAGGACTCGCACTTATTGGCCGGTTTTTATTACGTGGGGGCGAGGGGAGTGAGCACCGTATTGCCGCAATATCCGTACTGGATTTAAAACAAAAGTACCCCGACAGTTATATGTTACCATATACGTGTATCGCCATGGGATCAGCTCATTGTAAATTAATTCGTGGTATAAACGTACTATTCAAATATTTTCTGTTCGAGGTTCCGCTTTTAATGAATTATGAGTTGAGGTAAAATTTTTATCATAATTCGAACGGAATCGAATGATGAATTCCGTTGTATCGGTATATAACTAACTCTCATATCTTGAATACTTAAAAGTTTAAATAGAACCTTCTTATTACGGAAACACACAGGCGGACACAGATGTAAGAGCAGAGCTTTTTCTTTTGAAGGATTTAAAACAGAGAACTCATTATAGTGAGTGCTTTCAGCGGGCAGCAAGTGATGTGTTATTATTTCGAAAATATGCGGGTTCCTCACGATGTTTTCCTTCACCGAGAGCACGCGATAATAATTATTAACAATTTCATTGGTCGGCACCGGGGATCGAACTCAGGTTGCTCGAGTATATTGAATTAAAGACGAGCGCTCGGACACTGAACTATCACGGCATTGACATAGTGGATAGTTAATTTAGTTCTTTTTTAATTTATTTAAAGATTTACAATGTTTGTCTGTTTAAATCTTTAGTGACCGGTAAAACATGCTTTTTTATATAAACAAATTGGCAAAGAAGGTGGTTCCCTGATGTTTAGTGATTATCGTTGCCCAAGGGCATCTACGAAACATTAGCGGTTCCAGTAGCGTAGCCAGCATTGAAAAAGGGCTTTTTGGTTTTTTTAAGTGTTAATTCTTTTAAGTTAAAATTTTTAATTCTATGTAATCGTCACATTTATTTATGCAAAGTTAGAGCAATTTTTGTCATCTTAAAAATATTTTCCTAGGTCCTTTAATGCTAAGAACCGCCCTCTACTTCTTCACAATCTCCCACCGTCTTGAAGGTTAACTTAAACCTTACGAATATTTCGTCTTTGGTGAATAATTTAGGAATTTCTTCATGTTTTAATGAAATACCCTTGAAATTATGTCATGAAGATTGAAAGACCGCTGACCAGATAATGGTTCCGCTTTAATTGAATAGCGGCCCGCCCCGGCTTCGCACGGGTATTTAACAAAAAGTTATAATACACACACATAAAACCTTACGAATATTTCGTCTTTGGTGAATAATTTTATGAATTTCTTCATGTTTTAATGAAATACCCTTGAAATTACGTCATGAAGATTGAAAGACCGCTGACCAGATAATGGTTCCGCTTTAATTACGGGACATTCGGGGTTACACGTAAAAGTGACAAATAAGTTTGGTCTCCCATAGCTTCGGACATAAATTATCGCGTCTTTGGTTTTTTAATGCAGATAAGTAGGAGAACCTGTAAATGAATATGACGTTGCAGATTACGCGTTGACTGATATTTGATTGGCCAATGTCTTGATTTAAGGCGTCTCTAAGATGAATGTTTCACCAGCCCTCAGTCTCTGGTGATCACGACATCATGATTATGTAATTCAATCTTTCTGATATCTTTTTGCTATCACATCGACAATGTATTGAATAAAGACCGGCCAAGTGCGAATCGGACTTGCACACGAAGGGTTCCGTACCGACCTCACAGAAGACCGGCGTAAAATAGAAGTGTTATACTCCTACGTTTCGTCTGGTAAGAGAGGTAGCCGGGGCCCACTTTTTTAATGTTGGCTTTTTTAGTTGTTATCACTTAAGATCAGAGGAACCGGCAGCTCGTTTGCCACTCTATCACATTAGCCCAATTTTCAAAAGGTTGTCAACACATCTGTAACCCTCGGGTGTAGCAGATGTCCATGGGCGGCGGTATTCACTTACCATCAGGTGAACCGTCTGCTCGTTTGGCAACTTTTCACATAAAAAAAAAAATCATGTTTTTATACCTTTATTCAATAGAAGTACAGAAGTATTACACTTACATATTGTCAAAAACACTACTACTGTAAACATTATCTATAAAAACGACAAAAAAATCATGTCTGTTTTATGGGAGCCCCACTTATTTATAAATTTTTGTTTTTTAGTATTTGATGTTATAGCGGCAACAGAAATACATCGTTTGTGAAAATTTTCACTGTCTAACTATCACGGTTCATGAGATACAGTCTGGTGACATATGGACAGACATACGGACATACAGACAGTCAGCGGAGTCTTAGTAATAGGGTGCGATTTTGCCCTTTGGGTACGGAACCCTAATAAGTCCCAGTAATAATGCAATGGATTAGAACAGGTAACTCTAACCATCAACCTAAATGCATAAAATTCCATGCATGTCACAGTTTTGTTACGCACATTACCTTGCCGAGGAATAGTCAAATATTAACCGTCTTCTCCTATTACGACTATTAAGGAATATTTTAGTGGATCATACAATCTGTGTAACTCAGAGACCCTTTTAAGTTGGACGTGTCTATCGTGAAACACTATACCTCTGGGGCCTTTTTAGGATTCCGTACCCAAAGGGTAAAACGGGACCCTATTACTAAGACTCCGCTGTCTGTTTGTCCCTCTGTCAACAGGCTGTATCTCATGAACCGTGATAGTTACACAGTTGAAATGATAGTTACACAGTTGAAATTCGATCTGAGTATTTTTTTCCCAAGGAGGGTTGACGTCAGGCAGGCGGCTGGTTGTAAAAATATAGCCGAAACCGCTAACAACATGATTCATGTTGTGCCGACCCCACCTAGAAGGCTATTACATACATAGATATTGATGATACTTGTATACTTGTCCCTCTATTTTAAAAGTTCGCGTCAAACGAAGTCATTTGAAAAGGGCTATTGCACTTTCGGATGTTGGTTAAAAATGTCCAGATGGTGATTGATTATTTGTCAAAAGATTTTTATTGGCTGTGCTCCTCAATATTGGGGAGACTAACTTTTCCAGAAGCACAGCACATACCGTTTGGTTCATCGCCCCTTTTTTGTCAGAACACTTACAGCAGATCTTATTCATTGCTCCGATTTGCACGGAAGACTGTTGCATAATGATATAATCAAACTGTTAATGCATTAATGCTGATCTGTTACTGTGAGCTAAAAGTCGATTACGAACTCTAATCGTTTACGTTTGTTGTCTTTCCCTCTAATCTCGTAGGCGTTGGGAACGCTCAGAGTTCGATTCCCGAGTGTGAATTTGTATATTTATATTATTTTGCTCTTTAAGCCGCTCTACTTGACTCTCTCTGACTTGTATGACGATTTACACTTTCCGGTAAAGATTCCTCATTACGACGTATTTTTGATGCCCTCGCCTGGGAACTATTTCTAGAAAGATGAGATCTTGACCTATTGGGCAATTTAAAATGATAAAATAAATTAAACTATTGAACAGGAATAACCACTATAAATGTAATTGAAAAATTATAAGAACTACTAAGTCACTAAGCTGTTTGGATAGTTAAATTACTAAGTACTAACATTTTTAAACTTGTGATATCTTTCGAATGGAATGTCCGAATTTAATAATTCGATTCGATTTAAAATAAAAGAACACTTATTGTGGCATAACTATAATAGTTAGACATATGCTCTCGCGACACTTTTTGGAAATAATGATGTGTTCTGCAAATTCGTAGTACATAATTTTATTCTATCATCAATAGTTTTCGCAGCGCACGCGATGTAAAGAATATTTTAGGTAATTTTTTGTACACTTTGTGTTACATTATCGAAATTTTAGTAAGGATCCCTATTTTTTAAAAAATATAACATAGCCTATATCAAGCGGGGATAATGTAGCTTCCCAACAGTGAAAGAATTTTTCAAATCGGTTCAGTAGTTTCGGAGCCTATTCAATACATACAAACAATCAAATCTTTCCTCTTTATATTCTAGAAGATTAGAGTTTAGATCATTTGAAACGCTGATAACATAATATCTCTATGCCTTTTCCGGCTTCCAAAAGTCTCAGAGAAAGTTTAGAACATCATTTAAAAGTAACAGGGTGACGAGTTTAGCTGCGCGTGTCAATGCCAGTCGGGCGTGATCGCTCAAACAGGATGGACGCTAGTCAATTTTTCCGGTAACTTTTAATGCCACTTAAGTTTCGAATATATTTTATTACGATCAAACTTACGATAATTGTAAAATATAAAGTTCAAAAATCTCTATGTAAATTTAATGCTATAATCCGTATTCTATTATGTATATATACGTATTATCTTCCGAAATGATTTGTTATTCTAAAAGAAAGAAACGATTTTTATAAAGAGTACACGTTGGTACAAATATAAGTCACAGTACTGCTCCGGAGGATTACTTTGATTTTATATGACATTTTGTTTAGTAATAGGTACTCTATTATTTATCAGTTTCTTTCTTTCCTCATTGTTGTCAGCATAAATCAGTACCATGACAAGTTATCTCATATCCTCGTACTTTACGTTGTAAAGTCAAATAAATTAAAAGGCTATTTGTAAGATAGAATCTAATTTTCAAGCTTTCATACATTTTGCTCGAATATGTTGGAATGACTGTATTCACTCCAGTCTCGCTCGCAAGCAATTTCCCTCGAATTCATGGTTGCAAATATATTTTCCATTGGCTCATTTAAAACGCCACGGCCGACTGCCACTGAACGACTTTATTTATAACATATAAATTAACAACTTTATGTTGCATTTAACTATTGTGAATAGATATTACTATCCAATATTTTTTTTATAATTATATCAAAAATATTTACGACATTGACAAATATCTCGTTATTTGAGCCTATTTCTCGTAATATACTGTAATGATAATAACGCCAGCTATGTTTACTTGCTCATGAGTTATAATTAACTTTTGAGAGAGAGTTCTTGCAACTATCAAGTACAATTGCAACTTGCAACTATCACCACTTGCAACTAATAGTTGCAAGTTGCAATAACTTATAAGTTAAGGACATAATTCTTTAAAAAGCTTTGAAGCTGGTAGTGGTTAGTTGGGTAAACCTCAAAGAAATTTTTGAATTTTGAAAAAAAAAATGAACTGGTCAAGTGCGAGTTGAACTTGTATGCCAAAAGTTCCGTACCTACCCATTACAGCACCATAATAAAGTTGTTAAATAATCACCACCGTTTTTATCAGGAACGGGTGGACTATAGTCCTTATTACTTGTATAAAAGTCAAGGTCCTGAATCAACAATCAACAATCAATCCTGAATCAACATGATAAAAAGATATGGTAAAATGTAGATTTTCGCGAAAACTTGTAAGTACCAAAATTTACATTAATTTTCATCCTTTTTATTTTTTTTGGAATTTTCCCTTCATCTGTGCTATAACATATATTCTAGGTAAACGGTAACTATCATAATGGTTTTCGATCCAAAGTCTATAGGATACTTTCGGTTGACCTAGAATCGTCAATTTTAGTTAAATGCACGGTCTTAGAGCACAAATAAAGGTAAAATTTCAATTACTTTTTGGTACTTACAAGGTATGGAACCCTAAAAAAGTAAGTGTGGATGGTTATCGTTTTACTGTGAATATTTCTGAATCTCAATCGTTAAGAAATGGTATTAAATATTTAAGAGCAACATTCACTCGTCACAGAAATAAGAATAGAATATTATTTTTTCAATGCACTTAGCATTTACAATAAAACAAGGAAATAATAATGGTGAACTAATTCGAAATTATAAATATAAGTCTCAAGTATTTCAATGTTATATTAATTAAATTATAATATCGCAATTTTCATATTATCCTTTTCCTTAGCGGTTTAACTATAGTTAAGTTTTTACTACTGACTTCATTGTAAATTAATTTACAATCAAATCATTAATAGTAAAAACTAAACTAGTGGAAAAAGAGATATTCTATAAGAATGAACATTAAACATTAGATTTATTTAAAATTTTTCCTCCATAACGCTTAATGGCGTAAAGAACGTTCTTTAAGTTCACGCGTAGCACAAAAACTTTAACATGCAGGACGTAGTCGTAGCAAACACGTAGCGTAAAAGATGGTGCGCTACGCACGATGTAATTTTTGGCATCCGTTGATTGTGATTGGTTTTGGTATGGTCCAAAACTATAATCGAATATAAAAATGATTTTACGAATTACGCATAAAACAATATAATATATAAATTTGATGTTGTAAAACAAATTTCATGTATCAACATGTTTTGGTTTTGTTTCGAAAGTATTGCTCGTATATATGGTATATAATTAGAGTATTTTTTTTTATTTCCGACGGCTGAAAGCCTGGCGAAGTGTTAAGCGAGGCAGTTACGCGGGCCGGGCAGGGGTGCGGCGGCGTGGCAGCGCACTGTGGCTCCGGACAGCTCAGCGGACGAACGTCTTGCCCGCAGTCAGCTTCCGACCGCGCTCGGGTTAGTGCGTCTCAGATTAATACAAGGCTTCAAGCTGTTCCCAAGTGTGGCGAAAGTTCACAAGGAGTGCACGC